GCAGATTTCGATACTGATTTGGGATTTTAGCAATTGTTTGGAATTTTGGCACTGGTTTGAAATTTTGGTACTGGTTTGGAATTTTGGTACTGGTTTGGAATTTCAGTACTGGTTTAGGATTTCAGCATCGTTTTGGGATTTCAGCATCATTTTAGGATTTTGGTATCGTTTTGGGATTTTGGCATCGTTTTGGAATTTCAGCATCATTTTGGGATTTCGGCATCATTTTGGGATTTTGGCATCATTTTGGGATTTTGGCATCATTTTGGGATTTTAGCATCATTTTAAGATTTCGGTATTGTTTTGGGATTTTGGCATCATTTTGGGATTTCGGCATCGTTTTGGGATTTCGGCATCATTTTGGGATTTCGGCATCATTTTGGGATTTTGGCATCGTTTTAAAATTTCGGTATCGTTTTTGGATTTCGGCATTGTTTTGAGATTTCGGCATCATTTTGGGATTTCAGCATCATTTTGGGATTTCGGCACTGGTTTGGAATTTTGGCATCATTTTGGGATTTCGGCATCATTTTGGGATTTCGACATCATTTTGGGATTTCAGTATCATTTTGGGATTTCGGCATCATTTTGGGATTTCGGCATTATTTTGGGATTTCGGTATCATTTTGAGATTTTGACACTAGTTTAGGGTTTTGCAACCTATAGTCAAAACTTTAAACCTTTAGGTTTAATCAAATAGGTTTCGGGTTACAACTCTAATCTGCTTAACCTTCTATTCATTATTTGGGATTCTCTAATCCTGACAATCTACAAGAAATTACTTATATCTTGCCACCTAAGAGGAACTCTGCCTCATCGTATTACTTTTACATAGCAACCAAATGTGCAGAACTAAAATTATTTGAAACAGAAATAGATAATAATATCTTCTCTCATGATGGTATTTATCAACTATTCAAATATCGACAACAATATGGATTTTCCTTTCATCTTGATTAATTTTTTATGAATATTGTTCAATATCAAAATCAAATTCAGGAACATAAATTTTTATATGACACTAATCAAACTGTTACTAAAGCAAGATATGATAATAGACCTGATCCTAGCTGTTCTGAGTGTAATCCACCTAATTTTAGCTCACAAAATGCTGAACAAATTGTGCGATTTTGGGGTTGGTATAGTCATAAATACCAAGCTACTTATATCACTTGTATAACTATTGACATTTTTGAGGAAGCATATCAAACTATAGAAGATATTCAATTCTTTAACTCTATTCTTTACTTTTTGTTAACTACTATTTGTTATAATAACAATCAACCACCTAAAGAGTTTGAACAAATAGCACTTGAACTAAAAGATAAGTAGCTAGAAACTGAGCAATTCAACTATGCATCTGAAAACTTTGAGAATTCTGATCAAGAAACTAATACTGAGTCTAGATTAGAAATTGTATATTCTGATTCTAATCTCTCTAATCCTTTAGCAAATACTCTAAGTAGAAAAATTGAAAAGATCAGTAAACAAATTCAACAAGGTATAAATCAAGCTCAAAGTCTTATTATATAGTTAAAAAGTAATTTAGAACTAACCAAAGAGACAACACAATCAACATTATATTCTCCTCCTTCAAATAATCAAAATGATAATACAGAACTTATTTTTGAACAAGCATATTATCAAACAGTTAATCAATTTACAAACAAGTTAGATCAGAACCAGGGCATAATAATAATAATAATCAAATTACTCATGTAGTCAACAATAATAATGCTAATAATAATAATTAGGAAGAGGATCTACAAACCAATATGTATATTCCAGATGCTTTTGATAGACTAGTTGAAAATCACAGAGAGCCAAAAAATCAAGATAGAGAATAGCAACAATAACAATAGTAGCAGCATGAGGAAGAAGATAGACCAGAAACTCCAGAATTTGATATACAAGTAGCTATTCAAGAAATTTTAAAAGGCTTAAATAAAGTAATAGAAAAAAATAATACTTGAGCTACCACAGTAGCAACCATCAACCAAAAGGAGTATAAAATAATAGATTTCCTTATCTTTTCAGGAAATAGTGATGAAGATCTAGTTGAATAGCTTGAAGCCTTCACAAGAGCATATGTTGGCAATAACATAGATGAAAATAGACAGCTTGCAATTGTTTTTAATTTTCTTAGAGGAAATGCATTATCTTGGTATAATCAAAATAAAACAAACTTCATATACTGGAAAAATGACCTCCAAGCTATCCGATCTTTTACTCATCTTTTTGAACAAAAATTCTGAGATTCATTTAAAGTATCCTAATGGCATTATACTCTTTGTAGTAGAAAACAAAAACCTGGTAAAACTGTGAATACATATAACTCTGCTCTTGATGAGTTATAGCATAGAGTAGATCCAAATAGTAATTACCCTGAGGTTAACAAAATTAGACAGTTTATTGATAGTTTATATCAGAAATTTCAAATTCCAGTACAATCTGAGAGCCCAACTACTCTGAACCAAGCTGTAAATAAAGCGAGAGCTATTGAAGTAGCATACTCTAAAAGAAGTGCTCTTTCTGCCTATTCTCTTCTACCAATCTCCTTTCAACCACAATTCTTTGGAGGATATACCACTCCAGTTATATGGCAACACTTACTCAACTACAAAATAGTCTTCGAGATGACCTTATGAAAGCTGTATAGTATGTTGCTAGGTCTATGCAACAAAACCTTAACCATCTCAAAACCAAAATCAAAACAATTATAACAATAACAATAATTATAATAACAATTATAACAATAATAATTATAATAATAGCAACAATTATAAACCACCTCATCAACAAAATAATAATTGTTTTAGATATAATCAATCTGGACACTTTGCATCAAATTGTACTGCCCCTTACTGCAATAATTGTCAACAAATAGGACACATGGCTAGAAATTGTCAATTAAATCAAAAATTGAAGACCCAACAACAATAATAATAACCACAATAACAACAATAACTAGAATAATAACAACAATTAAAATAATAATAACCGTAATAACAACAATAATTACAATAATAATTATAATAATTGAAACAATAATAATAACAATAATTATCAAAATAATAATAACAACAACAATAACAACAACAATCCTCCTCCTAACAATAACAACAATAATAATAATAATAATAATAATAATAACAACAATAACAATAATAACAACAACCAATGCTAATATTTAAACTAAAAGAGGTATCTTCTGAGAGTGAGCATACTCAGAATCAAAACCCCTTATTTAATAAAGAAGAAACTTTATATACATTTTTGTTGAATAAGATATATGAGTTGTTAGATAAAGAGGACAATAATGACAATAACTTAGAAAACTAATTTTATAATCTCTAGACAGATTATGAAGAAACTTTAGAAATACTTGGGTTGAACTCTAGTGAAATTAATTACAATATAGATAATAATAATATTCAAACTAATCAAGTTAAAGATGCACTATTTACTACCACCAAAGTTTTAGAAGTAACTATTAATGTTCTAGTAAATACTGGTTCAAAAGGATATGTAGTCGCTAAACACTTCCTTAATAAAGTTAATCGGACAATTGATGAGTCTAGTAATATTAAAGTTGTTGATATTACAGGAAATAAAACAACTTCATTAGAAAGAGTTAAAAACATATCTGTTCTTTTGGGTACCAAATTAACTTATGTTAATATGATAGTAACTGAGTCTAAAAAATATAATATAGTACTTGGCAATGAATATTTGAATAGAGTCCAAGCTACTATTGATTACTATAGTAAATATATAAGTATTTTTTTTTTTTTTTTTTTTTAATTCTTAGATGATCTTGCCAGAACTTATATACAGTTTACAAATTAATCTAAAGGACTAATTTTAGTTGATACCAACAAGGCTGCAACTACAAGCCCGATCTCACCCGGCTACCTTTTGGCGCCCAGATGTGACTGTCATACTGATTCACAGATGATTTAGAATTTCAATTAGCTCTTTAAGAACTAAACTAAAAAAGGTATTAACCCTTCACATATTACTACTCTTATACCTTTCTTGTAAAGACTTTTGATCTTTATTTTTATTCTAAAATCTGTGCTTTTTTGCTATCTGCCTCATTCTGCTTTCTTGTTTTCTTTTCTTGTAGACTTGCTTTATTTGCTTTGGAGTTTTTTTTTTTCTGAGAAGATGACTTTTTTTCTTTGGTAGTGATTCCACTTTCTATCACTCATTTGCTTGTTAACTGGTACCGATGAGACCAGATCTTCTCATAAAAACCTTTCTCTATAATTTAATGAAAATTTTAATAACTCTGCCTGCTTCAGATTATGTTATATTCACCTTTCCAAGCTCTTCTAGAATATCTACACTCTATAGACCACTTATATAACCTAAATGTCTTCTGCATATATCGGTCTTGTTCCCATACAAGCTATTTATGAAAGTATCTTTTGCTAGCTTCTTTTTAGTTATACTGTTCAGAAACTTCTATGCTAGTTCACTCGCAACATTTTCAATATTGACCCAGTAGCCTTTGTATGCTTTACACGTTATTAAGTATTCAAACGTTTCTTCTTTATTTTTGCAAGCACAACATTTACTTATATTATACATCTCTGGCTTCCTTTTTTTCAGTACTAACAATACCGGTATTTCTCTGCATAGACATTTTAATCTGAAAGCAAAGCATTTACTTGCTTCTAATGACTTGCATTTAATGCCTATTATTTTTTATTTTGTTGTCAAAATAATCTCTAGTTGTGCTTAGCTTCTTGGTCATATTCAAGAACTTGTACTGCACTTGACGTTCTTCATTCAGCTCCTACTCTCATATTCATTAGAATTTTGATTAGCTTTCTTGTAGAAATCTCTACTAGGAAATTGTTCCAATGTAGGCTGATTGGGTATCTAGGATTGTTCTTTATTTTAAGATTTGAGCAGATATTTAATCTTGTTTCTTCTTTTGCTAATATATCTGCTCTCTCATTTCATCTTACTCCACTATACACTTTAACCTTTACCAACTCCAATAAAATCTGTTTTGACTTGCACAGATCTTTAATTAACAAAACCAGCTTGTAATTTTTTCTTCTACTCTACTTTTTTGTATTGTCTAACTGCTCATATATTGTAAACTTGTAATTGCAGCTTTACTATCTAAATTAATTACTACTCTACTATTACTAGCTACTATTAACAAAGTCAACTATACTGTGACCAATTCTGCCTTTGTTGATGAGAGCCAACTCTTGAATTTGACTTTCTCTTCAACTATCTGACAATCCTCCTCTT